TGGAAGATTGGACCATGTGATGGATTTGTGGGTGTAGGGGCAATATCATGAAATTTCAACTGCGTGGAAAACCCAGGAAGCTTTCAGATTCGGGGTTTCCACAGATGTGCCAACTCTCTTAATAAATTGGAACTTAGAGCAATGCTTTGCTTTGGACTCTGATTTAATTTTGGATGCTATTTGGAACGCTGACACCAAGATTATAAAGGTAACTCTGCTTGAATCTTTTCGTGCTCTTTAAAAAAGAAATTAAAAGACTTCTAAGTGAAATAATCCAATTTCTAATAGGTTTGAGTCTTCTCAGAAAATTTACCAAATTGAATCAACAAAAGCTGAAAAGTTTTAAGCTTCTCGATATATTTTAATATGTAAAGTCTTTTGGAAATTTGGTCCTTTAGAGTCTTATTGAACAAGGTGTTAAAGACAATGCTGGTTTTTTTTTCAGGAACAAAACAAAACAAAACAAACCTGTGCTTTGGGCAGCCTTAACCAATCCTTTCCTCAATTTATCACGTAACCAAGGTTTCACCTGAAAGTGTTCTTCTTCTCCAACAAAAGAGACAACCAGATTGGGAGCAGGAAGGTTCCACTTGTTACTCATGAGGTCAAATATAACTCCAGGATGGATGGCACATGGAACCTTAAGAAACTATAATCAAGAAAAGGGCATTCAGACAAAACACATGAAAAAACAATAGGATTGTAGAAACCAGAAGCCAACTTCTGTCTCACATGTAAATGTAACTAGTGGATTATGGGCATTTTTAATGGGGTTAGCTTCTAATATTTTGTAATCATGACTGTGAGACTAGGAAAGAACACAAAGGACTATTTTAAATAAGAAGAACTTGGGAGCAACCGTGCTGTGTATCTACTTCATGCCTCTTCATTCTACCCCTTTGAAAAATGGCAGACTCTGTAGAAACCATTCTGATGGCTTCCATGTAGGTATGTTGTCTTTTCAGTTCCCAGAATTCCCCAACTGCAAGGCTAAAGGCTGAGATCACACCAGCTGGGAATTCCAGGAGTTGATCCAGCACAAGCTGAATCAAACACCAGATTAAAGAAGGCATTCAAGTAGATGTATATGGAAACACCAAGTAGCATATTATATTTTTCATCAGTATCCCCATAGATCCTTCATCAAAGATAATAATTGATTTGCAGTCTTCCACGTCATGGTTGTCCCAAAGGTGCTTTTTCAAGAGACAACTGGATTTCCTGTTTGTCTTTGAAGACATTTCACTTCTCCTCCAAGAAGCTTATTTAGCTCTTTAGAAAAGAACCAGAAAGTCCAGTTTTTCCTCTTGAAAAAGCACCTTTGGGATTCCCTTTGTTTTCTGAGATTGCTATTGAATCTCGGTCTCTTCCATGAACAAGAGCACCCTGAATGAGCTCAAATCATGAGCATTGACACAAAATATTGCTTAAGGATCTCTTTTAGAAAGATTCAGTGACAATATAGAATAGCAATAATATTCTACTGAATATTGATAATGCTTATAGGTTTTGTGGTACCTTTCCCTGTTTCTTTCCAGTAGCCAAGAAGTCAATTTCTCCAATACAATATTGTAATTCCATTCTACTTGCTTTTTCTTCATCACTGAACACTTTATTCTGTGTATTCTCCTTCCGGAATATTGCAGAAATATTGTCCTGACCCAATTCTCTGCAAAAAGAATGAGTTGAACCACTCAACTTTATACCAAATTGTAATTGGACATTTTTTTCAATACAGTGCTATATTTTTAAATGAATGTAATTGTAGGAACAATAGAAATGGCTTGCAAAGTTTCTAGATTATTGATCTAAGTGTACATAAGGATGCTTAGGGTAAAATTGAGCTTGGTTGAAATTTGGCAAAACTATACGATATTGATTTTATCACAAGTAGATAATGTTACATGTGACATAAGTTGTAGGCTAGTAACCTAGTGTACTTTCTTCTCCTCTTGCCAAGCATTGTGACAAATTCTCAGTTAATCAAACCCATGATGAACAGCAGAGCTTGGTAGCTATTGATCCAACCGATGACAATAATTGTGTACAGAATATTGAAACTTGGAAAATAAGAAGAGTAAATGAAGTTAAAATGTATGTGAGAGAGATTTGTTTTCCAGCCATGTTGTTATGTGAGAACTGATTATTGCCAGAGAAAAACAACAATAAATTTAATATAATAGGGATGGGGTACCTGAAAAAGGTGCCAGGTAATACAAGAAGATATAGAGTCAAGAATGAATGGGTGTTTTTATTACAGTTCTTGTATTATCCAAAATAAGAACATAACAACCAAAGAAACATCATCAAGCTCTGGGGTCATTGAGGTCATCAGTAAACTAGTAATACCATTTGCAGACTCTATAAGCCACAGTGATAGTGGGTGGAAGAGGGATGTGACACAACGAAAGAAAAGTACCAGAAGATAGTTAGTGAACTATACTGATATAAACTTCATTTAGCTTTCCTCCCCCCACTTCTACTCTACATTTAATTTCTTTCTTCCAGTACCTTACAGCCCCTTCTGTATTTTGTATATTGTGGTGTTTCTGAAAGGGAATTGCAAGGGAGATGATGTATACATATATGTATTGATGTGTACAGAACTATATCAGTGTTGCTTTATTATTACTTTCTCTCAAATCATTTAAAAACACTTACACTTTATTCCTAAAGACCAACTGTTCATTTGAGATGCTTTCTCTTCTTTTAAGGGTTTGGAAAACAAACATCTAGGGAAAAGAGAAAAATCAAGTTGTAGCAGCTTAAAATGTTTGGGCAATTATTATTCCACAGTATAAAAAGGATCTGGCTACCGGGGAAATGGACACCTGTAATAGAATAAGTTTTTTATGCAGCAAATTCAGTGGTGGGATTCAAATAATTTAACAACCGGTTCTCTGCCTTAATGATTTCTTCCAACAACTAGTTTACCAAACTGCTCAGAAAGTTAACAAACAGTTTTCCTGAAGTGCTGTGAACTGGCTGAGTCCCACCACTGAGCAAATTCCCTCTCCATATAGTTTCTCATACCTTCCCACCACACCCAAAAAGTTTGGAGATCTAAGGTATATAGCTAATCTGATTCATGATGCTAAAGTAGAAAGAGAGAGAAAGCTTCCAATTATTTTATTGTAGCAAATTTTAATCCACTTTTTGTTAAATATATTCCCAAAGTGAAAATTACTATGTGCAGTCTCATGCACATGTAATTGAAAATTCCTAAATCTGTCTGTCAACTCCTAAATCTCTCTCCCTATCATTTATCTATACATACATACAGTGACGTGCGGTGAGGTTTATGGCTGGTGAGGCAAAAAGAAAGAAAGCAGCTTTTGCCCGCCCCGCAGCTATGTCCGACATAGAGGCGGGACACCTCTATGTCAGACAGAAGCTGCGGGGCGGGCAAAAGCTGCTTTCTTTCTTTTTGCCTCACCAGCCATAAACCTCACCGCACGTCACTGTATGTATGTATAGATAAATGATAGGGAGAGAGATTTAGGAGTTGACAGACAGATTTAGGAATTTTCAATTACATGTGCATGAGACTGCACATAGTAATT